CAATAGCCATAGTTTGGTCTTCTGATATGGATAGCCAAGAGATAGATACTATGCCAGTTAGATTATCTCAACCAACTAGTTCACGAAGGCGACCCCGAGATGAAGAACCACTGCACCACGATAACGACAGAGGATACCAAGTAATCGATCACTGGTGATTGTATTTGAATTCGAGTCTGCTTACGATGGTCAACCAGAAGGCATATTTGCAGGATAATTTCACAATGAAGACACAGAAGTTCATGCTTGGTCAGAAGTTGAAGGAGTGGGCCACTACCGTTGGCTTCAAGGGCCGATGAACCACTTACCTCGTAAACAACAGTTGGAGTTCATAGCAGACGTTATGCGATAGATCTTCATTTTCTTGCGTTGATACTGATTGACAACAACATTGCTTCTCAGAGACCTCGAAGCTAAAGGAGGGGGTGATGTTAGGGACATAGTCCTTAGAACCTTCTAGAGACAAGCTTCTAGAACCTTCTAGAAGCAAGTCTCTGGAACCTTCTAAAAGCTTCTTAGTTAGTAGAAGATGTTAGGGACATAGTCCTTAGAACCTTCTAGACATAAGTTTCTAGAACCTTCTAGAAGCAAGTCTCTGGAACCTTCTAGAAGCTTCTTAGTTGGTAGAAGTTGCTTGAGAAGCTTCCTAAATAGGAGTATATATTGGAATCGAGGCTGAAGAGTTCTTCAGTCTCGACAACACATCTCTTGGAGCTCTAGCTCACCTCTCTGGTGTTGTTCTTGTATTCATCTGATTAATCTAGTTCTTGCCAGTTCTTCTTGAACTTCTTGGTAGATATCAAGTCTGTATTCTGTGTCCGTGACCGATCCTATGAAGATGCAAATAGTTGTACTTATAGATGCAACTAGTTGTACTTATAAATGCAACCAATATTTAGCAAGTCATTATACACCATCCTTACATTTATTAATTATAATGAAAATATTTGCACACTAAAAAAATTAAAGTGAGCTACAATAGACTATCTTCTTTTTGATCCTATAAGAATATCTATTATACTTCTTGTAATATCAAATAAAAATATAGGACATTGAAACCAATGACCTATATTTTTTCTTAGAGTACAATCTATTAAAAATACCAAAGGACTCCAATCTTCATCCACATATCTTTATACTACCTAGATGTTATAAAGACAATAATGGAGAGATCGAGATCTTGCAAACAGACACTCTAGATAAATGACCACCTTATTCTTGCATTGCATAATATATAGAGATTTGGATGAGATATTATTATTATACATGAATGACATGTGGTCATGGATTTCTTCCAAAAATTCTACTCTTAACCACAAATTATTTTAATCCATTACACAATTTTTTTCAAAGTCTTGAAATATATACTTTGTAGAAGCTCTAAAAATAATCAAATAATATAGTATCAAAAAGATATATGCCTATAGAGTCCAATTTTAAGATGTCTTTGAAGCTAAGTTTGCTCCAATCTTTGAGGTTGAATTGGCATTGCATGCAAATTAAAACAACTAATATGCCCAAAATAAGCTTAATTCAATCCAAATTGTATTGTACAACCACCAAAATCAAATACTAGAAGCCAAATATGACAAACCTATATTTGAATGGATTAGAATAGGTTAAATGTAATTGCAAGTTCTTTGAGTTTGACAATAAGTTTAAAAAATTCATACCTATATGAAAACTCATAGAGGTAAGCAAGACGCTCACTAATTGTAGTACTATGCAACAATATATTGATTCATACTATATATACTTGTATTCATGAAACAATACAATAGAATCAAATGATCAAGCCTGAAATAACTGCTTTTGAAGTATACCAACATGAGTCACAAAGAAAAAAGGAGTAGTACTCACCAAAAGCCCTTCATACCAAGAAGTCTTTGTATTTTTAAATTTATTAATATTATTAAAATTTATATAATAAAATAGAAGATGTTATTAGTACACTTTGTATATATTTTAATCTCTTGGGTTATCAATTCAATTTTAAAATATTCTACATGCTTAAAAGTATTTTAAAAAAATAAAAATAAATAAAAAAATAAAAAAATCCTAATTAATTCTTATGCATAACTTCTTCAATCCTACTTTTTACAGTCTTCTTTTTCTTCTCCACCCCCTCTCTTCTTCTTTGCATATCTTTGGCCAATAGAATGATTTTAAGTTTAAGATGTGAAAAAACTTTTTGTGGCTAGGATTGAATTTCCACTTGCTTTAATGTTCTCTAACCAACTCCTTTTCCACACAATACCACATTAAGAAGAAATGTGCAGCACTAAGTGGTCTTTGACTGCATTTCTTCAAGACTTGAATCCATGCTTGAGAACAAACCATGTGGGACAGGATGCTTGGCAAAGAGGGATGCATGTGAATATGCGTGCTTGTTGGTGATGAAGGACTTGTTATGGAATGTTCTTCAGGACAAAATTTGTGTCTCCCTTGGACCACACTTTGAATCCTTGTTAGATGCTGACTGGAGCAAGGTCTTGGTTTGTGCTGTCTTTGAGGCCTTTCAATAGTAAGTGGGACAGCAGCTTTTCTATATATATATATATATATATATATATAGATAGATATATACACATACACATGATTCTAGGTGTGGCATTGGGTGTGCCAGGCAACTCAAACAATTAGATTGTTACACAAATAGTCCCTTATCATGACAAGTGTTAGGTATTTCAAATGAGGACCGCACTCCTACATCCTCCACACAATGAATCATTGATTGTAGGGGCTAAGGTTAGATTGTCAAAAATAAAAAGGTGAATCACAAGGGGAGCCAGTACACAGAGGCCTTGAACGTTACATTTACTGTTTATTTTATTTCTTTGGAAGCATAATCAAAAGTACCCAACAATCCCATGCGCCGTATTTATTTTTATTTTTATTTTCCTCTGCTCTGAGTTTTGTCAACCTACAATACAGCTTTAAATGATGGGTTTGAGAAACCAAGAATCCCAACACCATGATGATAAATACCACCTTTTGCAGAATGGTTGTTTCAGAATAATGGCCGCCTGCAGAGTTGGCAATTGACGCCTGGCAGGGATGGTGAAGGAGAATCAAAAGTGAGGACAAAAGCAACATTGACATTTGCTGCTGCTCTATTAGCTGCCCCTCTCTGAGTCCTGCCTGCCTACAAATGCCCCAACAAAAAGAGAAAACAAAAAGATAATGAATAAAAAAAATAAAAAATAAAAAAATCACATTCACCTCTTTTAGCATGTAAGTCCAGCAAACTTTCCTCCTCTCCTCAAGGTCATCTAAAACTACAAATATCTCACAATTTTCAGCTCATATCAGAGTGCTAAAGCATGCTGTACCAATAGTGTTGTTTTTTCTAGTCTTAAATAAAAAAAAATTCCAAAAAGTATAATCAAGAAGGTTTATTTAGTATATTTTTCTTTCAAAGTGCAGCAACAGTGGCATAAATGTCAACAGCTGCTCTCAGCAACTCCGGCTTCTCACAGTCAAATAGGGGCAGACAAGTCTCATCCCACAACACAAGAACAGGGCAGCACCATACTCTGGGGTTGCTTTTTCAGAGCTCTATTATCATTATAAAAACAGGAAAAGAAAAGAAATAAAAAAACAAACAAACGAACAAACAAAAGTGGGGTGGCTGTATGTTGAGTATCTGCTGATGGATATTGTATGATGAACCTTTTGGGGTGGTTTTTCAACTGCAGGCTGGCTGTGCAGCACCTGCTAGCAGCTGGTGTTGGTGGGTGTATGCCTTGAGAGGTACAAAACCTGGCACCCAAAACTGAGTGACAGTGGCTGTTACCAACAGTAGTAGCCTCTGTGTGGCAAACACCCTTCAGGTGTCCTTTCTATTCATCTGCTACATCATCTTAAAATGTCTTTGAAATTGTGTCATTTGCTGCTTGGATACACTTACATACTTATTCATGACAGTGAGTAGATATAATTAAAAGCAAAGCATGAAGGAATGAGGGGGTGAAAGAGAGCCTCTTTGCTGCCCAAGACAAAATTCCACCTGAAGACATCACTTGTCTGGTGAGGGAAGCTGTAGCATTCACATCCATTGTTTTGCACAATGTTGGCAATGTGAGCTTCTGTGATTTGTATACAGGCTGCACCACACAAGATGGTGCACTGGAATTTGTCTTATGTCACCACAAAAATAGTAGGAAAAGATAAAATATAATGTGATGTCTGTGATGTGAAATCAGTGATGTGTATGGACTTCCTGATTTGTCCATAAATGGGGTTGATGTGAGGGTCCATCAGTTGTGATCCACCATTGTCTTTCTTCAGGAGGGGGACAAGACAGGGAGCATCACATGGGGGCACTGTGAGGGTGCATCCACCCATCCACCCACCTGTTGATTGAGTGACAGGGCATGGGTTTCTATCTGTCGATTTCTCTGATCAAGTTTCCAGAGTTGCAGCAGCTTCTAACAACTACAAATACTACTACTACCACCATCACAACCCAGAGCCCCACCATGACATTGGTGCTAACCCTGAAGAGGGTAGGGACACTGTCTTGAGGGAGTTTTTGATCAGAGTTCTGCTCATACAAGACACCACACAGTTTTGGACTTTGATACGGCAAGTAACCACACGTGCATGCCACTGGCCTTGCCATGGGCAGTAATCAAATCTTGGGTAGATAGGATTTTGCTAACTGGGCTGTTTTAAGGTAGAGATAAAGACAGCAAGAAAGAAAGAAAGAAAAAAACGTAACAAAGGGGAAATTAAGAAAGAAACAAAATAAAGGTGCTGGCCTATGATCCACAATATCTTTTGTGAGATTATTCAACATAGGATAAAGGTAAGTATGTGGTTCAGTAGCAGAGTATAGCCATAGGAAGACCCCAGAAAGCACTTGGCATGCTTCTGCTAATACTTAGGTACAAGATTAGCTCTCAAGGGCATACAAGAAGAACTAGGTTGTATGTATGACACCTAGAATTTGCAGTCCATCAATTCAACTCATGCATCAATACTATCAACACAAAATGTGTAGCCATGAATCCAACAGACCAATTAATAACCAGTAAACTTTGCATAACTTTGGGTAACTTCGAGTAAATGCTAGCCTGGAGTTACGATTTTCACAAACTTGTTGGTAGCAGTATTTTATGTACTAGTTCCAGGGAAGACATATATTCTGGGGTCTGTCCTGTTGTATAAACCCCACAAATCAAGCAGGACATTTTACAATGCTGTGGCAGCTTTGACCAAAACCATGTTCAGCTTTCGCATACCATCTCAAGATACGAGAGTTGATCCAAGCTCTGTCCTGCCCACATTGATAACGCACGATCCACAAGCAAAAGGATCTAGATCAGCCTCAGGATATGCTACAATGCTGGAAACTTTCAAGGGTCAGAGCACATGCTACCCTAAAATCTCCGGGTATGGGAGCATAGATTTAGTCAGACAATGCTGAAAACCTCTAATACAGGGAAGAATTGGTAATTTTGGAGTATAATTGAACAGTCTCTAAAATTCACCTGGAGCACCGTATCTTCCTGTAGCTGGCTGATGAAGCTCCAGCTTTGAGATGGCTTCAGTAATCAACTGTCGAGAAGTCTCATGGTTCGCAAGTGTCTGAGATAAGTGATTGACATGGATAGTAGATCCCAACACGTTGACGACTTTCGCTGCTGCTAATACTTCACTGGTTGGGACATTCAAAGCCAGGTAACAGAGCAGCTCAAGCGCAGAAAGTTGTGATTCTGAATGCCCGAAGTTAAGTGCAAGCACAACCAGTCCTTCCACCGCTCCTTCCTGGATAATGTTTTTCGAGTGTTCCAGGTGCAAGTAATTTTCGTCGCTGGCAAACTTTGACAGGGCAAGAGCAGCTTCTGTGGCAACATCTATGACTTCCGGTTCCTGGTAAGCTTCAACCTTAATTAATGCTGAGGTCAACGCTTTGATAGGAGCTTCGGCTGGTGCAGGAAAAATTCGCGCCAAACTTCCTATCGCTTTGCAACACTCTTTCTGCCAACAGCCGAACACGTTCTTGTGAAAAAAAATTTAAAAAATAAAAAATAAAAAAATGAAGGCAAACGACAAGTAGACAACTCAAAATCTAAAATCTCCCTACAATATGTCGGTCCTCTGCTTGCAAGAAACCTGCTCTAACAAGAACATGCAACAAATTATTCTCCTGTTGAGTTATCCAGCTAAGACATGATGCTCTACTGGCTGTCTTCATGGCATTGCTCAGCCCTTACGAAGATACAACATAAATAGCCTGTGGAAGCAAGAAAAGGGTGATTCTAAGCACACACAAAATGTGATATCTCAGCACCTGGAGTTTGGGGTAATCTTCGTCCTCGCTAGCAATAAGTTGCAAGAGTTGTTCCACTACAGCTTTTGCTGATGGCGAGTTAGTCTTAAATGCGGCTCGACGGAGCTCAGAGTCATTCCCAGCAGAAACTGCAATTTCCTTGACTGCTAGAACAGCATTGCGTTTTAAAGGACCTTTGCTATGTTTTATGATCTTTGCAAAGCAGAGAAGTGCACATGTGTCTGTGATGAGTTTGCAATTTCCTACGTGCCCAGCTGCCAGTCTCCAGAGAGCATCGGTGACCACCACCTTAAGTTCATGCATCACCTCTGGGCTCTCCATGTCTCGTTGTGCTCGGCTGCCTTGTCGCAGGGGTGCATTCATTCTGGCACTGGAAGAGTGATTCTCTGGAATACTTGGTGGTGCGGAGCTTTTAATACGATCCATCATTGTCAAAGCTGCCGTTGCTACAGGTGTTTGAGAGTTAGAAACAGCTCTATGAGCATTATCGTTCCCCCCTACAACTAAATCTGTCCTTTGAACCGTATTTGTCTTTGTGTTTAAGTGAATGCTTGCTGGGCCCTCCATACCCACCACTGTATTGGTTTGATGCGCAAGAAGAGCCACCAATAACCTGATAGCACCTTCATTGGCAAGTTCAGTTTGAGCTTCTGAATCCAACATGGCGAATTTTGCAACTATCTTTGCGACTTCAATCTGGGATTTGTCAAACAACACGGACCTAACCATGTCAGTCGATTGCACAAAGTATATTGGTGGTATATCGTTCTTTTCTCCGTTGCTTCGCAGCAAACAAGAATACTAAGTATCCCAGAATGATTGATATAATTCATCTGTGTTCTCAATTCTCTCTATAGAGAATGAAAATGACATTCAACAAAATCTGTGTAACCTGTTACTGTTCAAAATTTGCCGCCCGAAGGAACTGCAAGGCCCAGGAAAGCGTTCTGCAACTTAAAACCTTGAAATGGTGGAGGAACTATTACCTGAACCTTCATAGATGTGGAATGACTACCCAAGAGATGCGTAAAGACACTGCTAGCTCCTTCCTTACGCAACTGCATCACTCGATCCCGATTGGTCGCCAACAAGGTTAACGCGGTGGCAGCTGCATCTTGACCAGGAATGTTTCCCTCCTTAAGCAACCGCAGTAACGGCCCCGCCCCTCCCTCCTCAATGATAATCTTCACATTTCGTTCATTGCTTTTGGCCAAGTTGCCCAGGTACTCTGCTCCTTCGACTTTCTCCTCAAGCGTCCCTATGTGCACGATGGATATTTGCTCCCATATATGGGCCAACATGGGATCATTGGACGCGATGGGTGGTAATCCTCCTAATTCAGAGCGCTCATCACCGGTGGATGATATGTTCACCACCCATTTGACATCCCCAATTGAGCTATCCAACCAATGGTTCATTTTCTTAAAGTCGGCAGCAGTTGTGATGGTCATGACCCTCTTGAGCATCCCGCTCCTCTTACACTTCCTCACGAGCCCCAGAGCTCGCTCTAGCACCTTCAGTACCTCCACCATGATTCGTCGGGTAGGCCGCTCATAAAGACCTGGGGCATTGGTTTTCGAGGCTTTTTGCCAAGCTTGCTTAAGCAAATTTACCAGCTTTATCACTCTAATGTTTATTTCCCCACAGTCGGATTTGTAAGAATCGGCTTCATCCACTCCTTTGCGTACAATCTCGGCACATTGTAAAACGAATTGTACAAGATCCACAATCTGGAGGTCCGTGTCCATGTGATGCTGGATGTAAGTTTCAATATAAGACTCCATTTTGTCTACAATTTTCACCTGGTGGAAGAACAAGACATAGATCAGGTGTACAGTGTCAAAATCGCTACTTGATATACCCAGTGTACCAAGATACAGTGCTTCCCCAAATTTGACCTTATTTAAGGAAAAAACACTCTAAAAGTGTATAATTCTAGGAATATCAATTCCACTGTTTCTCGCTACAAAAGCTAAAAGGATATAATCTCGAAAATCAAAGACAATGGCATCATAGAACTGATTCTCTTACCTGGATTTGTTATCAAGATGAACCACTGCATAACACAAAAGGACATGAAATCAAACGTACGAATTACGCAAGACAATTACAAAGACAAGTCAAGTATCCAATCTCTGACAATTTAGACACTTGCAACTGCCGGTAATGGAATGGTTGTACAAGGTTCTACCGATTGTGACATCTAGCCAAATCCTCAGGGAAAGACTATTACAATTGAGTTTAATCCAAACAGCAATAGTTTTGAGTACCCATGACAGCTCTAACACAGTCTACGCATAGAACAGATCATAGAAACGAATTTGGAATTTGCAGAGATACGTTCAAGCCAGAAGCAACCTCGAGAATTAGGTGATGTGGTCTTACCAGAACTGGTGACTTCCCACGCTTGCATTCCGTCGCTCACGTAACGTCCTGCTGATCGACTCGTTGCCACATTCTGGTAGATAATTAACCCGCAGGCCTCCCGGCGCACTGATATGAGCGACTCCACTACATTGCTCAGTAAAAACAACACAATTTTCAATAACAATTGTTTCTCCTCTATGAAGCGGATCGTACGAAGCTCATCGAAGCGAGCTGCAAAGATTCAAACTGAGAGCACAACAATGGATCTAACGGAACTTGCCAGCATGAGAAAGAAAGAGGGAATCCACACGAGGAGATTACAAGAACAGGAGAAGCGCCACAACCTAAGGATCAATATACACAATAAGATGCTCGTACACTAACTCAGAACTATCTTCAACAAACCAACCTCAAAACGAAAACGGACAAACGCAAAACCTCACAAGCGACAGCCGACAAACGGACCATACGACCGCTGCTTTCGAATCAACGAAAAACCTCGCAATGAACAATTCAGCACCGACACTCGCTCCAACACCAGAACATACAAGTGATGGCACCTTGTCAAAGCATACCAATTGCAATGCTGGTGAATTAGCAAAGGTTTTCAGTGATCCTAGTACAAGGATTACGCTCAGACAACGAATCTTGAGACTCCTCGCGTTGCAGATCTGTGAAGGCCCTGCTAGTTTGAAGGAAGATCTTGCACTATAGGAGATCAATAACAGTGCTGCAACGAAATGTGCTGCATATTCATAATCATTGCTTCGCCTCAATAACCCAGCCGGCACAATTACTCAATTTACCGATTAAATGTACGGATTCCGTCTTCTGCGTCTGCTTGTGAAGGAGTCTACTTCGGTAGACCGGGCACCACTAGTGGAATTGTGCTGAATATAATAACTAGCGACACGGGCAGCTGAGACTAAGTCCCAGCTTTTGCAATATCACTTGGTTTTGTAATGCAAAAATCCTTCATTTTCCCTACTGTTCAGGGTGTAACTTCGCGAGGCATGTTTTGCAAGGCGACCCATTCTGCCACATTCATCTTTTGCGACCAGAACCACCTACTCGTAAGAGTTTTTCATTCAGCACACTTCATCGAATGTCGGTACGTGAATCTACCATATAAAAGCTTTTAGGGCTACGACATGTGATGGTGATGGTTTACTTGGTACAGTTCGAGGATACTGCACTGTAGTCATTAGCTGTCTTCGTCGGTCATTTCCGACGGATTTATGTTATCTGTCCACGTCCTTAACGGCGTTCTTCTTGTTGACCGATTCGAGGTCGTCGTGGCAAACCTTAGCAATCAATGTACATGAAAAGATCCAATTTTTCTTCCAGTTTAGGGTTTTCGAGGGCTTCACTGTGTTAGAGGTTTGTATGTTACCATATCGCATGCACATGCTTTCTACGTCCCATCTTGCTTGTAGGTCCTCTTGCCAACCCCTTCCATTGTTCTTGTCACGACTAGTGCTAGCTTGTGTTCCAAAGTGTTCAGCTAAGGTCCTACACACACGAAGGAGGTCGATATTGCGCCATCTCCATACATGTGTGTCCAAGCTCTAGGAGCACCAGATGATCTTTCAGAAATGTTTATTGCAGCCAAATCTCGATGAGGCCCTAAGAGGCGCAATGCTGACATGAGGATCTCTTACCGATGAGGGACCAGCAGATCATCGAGTCGTTTAGGCAACAGCAGTTCTGCGCCCTCATTGTTTGTGGAGACTCCGGGTTTGTTCCAGGGATAAGCTGCGAAGATTGTCGACTGGTTTCTTTACCTCTCCTGTTGCTAGTCTGAGCTCTGTTCATTGCACACATAGATTGTTACAGATTTACGGTCAGTCTGTTCTGAAAGCTCGGTAGAGTAGAACCTTCCAATTACAAGATCTTTGAGAGCAGCAGTAAACTCCACCCCTCCTGCGACATACGTTCTACACGACGCTCCACATCCTCCTCAAAGCTGAACCGCTGGACATGCGACCCAGTTCGTCCAGATCCGCAGACGAAACGGCCCTCGACGGCAGAAACTAGTGGTGTATCGAGGCGAGAATATGGCCTGGTGTGGCAACAAGTATGTGCAATTGTGGTTATTGTGGTGCTTGACACGCTTCCGGACAGGCAGATGATGGAAAACAGCTTTGGGACCAATCCCGCATGTTTGCCCTCAACATGTTTGGCAGGTTGTGGAGTTGGTGCTTGCAGCAATTCTTATGGAGACGTTGCAGAAGGCGTGGAGCTGAATCTAAATTCAGTTGTAAGCCAATGAGGCGTGTCTTTGTGCAACTCAATTGTGTCTATTGGCCAGTCGTATGCAGCCTGGGCTTGTTTAAGAAGTCCAAAATCCATCAGCGTGAGAAACTCCTCCAGTCGCGGTTAGCTAAGCTTCATGGGCCTTAGTTTCGTTGTTGGAGATCGGGATTCTTAGCGTCTTTCCAGTGCCCGTCGTTTCTCCTCTGACAAAAATTACGCCTTGCGCTGCATGGTTCTACACCGATCTTAATCCGAAGCAAGACTCGGAATCAGCATAGGGGCATTGCAGAAGTAATGCCCTGTCCAATGTGATTACCTCCCACACCAATTTAGAACCTTGGTACGTTTATTTTCACCGCGGTGCAGGGAATAATTAGCAGCATCAAAATAAAAACTAACCATTCGAAGAGCTCTCCGTCTGCACAGAGGAAAGTTAGTCATAAGGACGCCCGGGCATTTACAACCTCATGGTAAACCACGGCAGGCCAGTCGTCGTGAACGACACAAATATATCCTGAGGGACGAAGCTGGATAACAAAACTCAGTCGGCCAGCACTGCATCGCAGCACCGAAGGAAAGTTGTGGTGCTCATGTCAATATCACCTCGTAGAACATAATTCTGCCACTCGGAGAGAGCAGAGAGGCTCACTTCCTATTCACAACCACGTACCCAGTTCTTGGCTGCAATTCACAAACAGGGGGATCATGGAGATATAATCTGTTTTTTGACACAAATAGAGTTGATTCTCTATTGTAGGTAAGTAAGGTTACATAACCCCAACCAAGTCCGGTTAGGGTGTTAGTTTGTAAGTTAGAACTACATATATGTTAATTGATTGGATAAGATAACTTCCATTCTGGTTTGTTTGCTCTCCATACTGCCAGAACTTGGTTCATGCACCAAGTCTGTTGAAATTGTTAAATGTATAGGTATGTCTGACTTAGTCTACATTTTATGTTTTCCTGAGTATTGAACCACGAGTTCCTATTGTAGTCTAGAAGTTGTAATCATATCCTATGAAATACTTACTCGGACGACCAGAGCATCTAGTTGAACATGGCATTGATTCTTTCAATCTGCAGTATCCACATTACTATTCCTCGCATTAACAGCCAAATGCAATTGAATTTCTTAGACCATCTTGGTATTTGATATGCAGAAACACAATGTTCCTATGATGGCGTAAATTGTATAAACCTTGGTGCGGCTCATTGCGCTAGTTCTTACCATGTGTTTGTCTTTGTTGAAAGTTGCATTGACTATGTTAATGTTAATTGCTTGGTATGTTCTTGAACTTTGATTGGAAGTGAAGAATTGAAGGATATGAATCCTCCATTCTCAAGCTTTTACTATTGATGGACATTCCCAAAATCAATGAAGTACTATTTTTTACATGCCCATTAGGCATATTAGACAACATTGGTCACTTTCATTACTTATCCTCCATTTCTAAGTGTTCATAGCAACTATTTTATGCCAAAATAGCCATATGAGCCTCACCTCCTCTCTAGTCCTTTTTAATCTAATTTGAGCTTGAACTGATATAGCAGTATGTCACTTTATTTTTGTATATTAGTATTTGATTTTACATGTTTTTTTTAAAATAATTTGCAATCTAATTATATTGTATATTGTATGAATGAGATATACTTTGTCTATTGGTATTGTCCAATATTCCACACTAAATGGTTGACCTTACTATAACAAAAATATTAGGTTTTTTTTTTTTTTTTATCTTTAGTAACTAGAATTGTCTTTATTCATTTAAGACAATCTACAAAGTATGTACCTTTAGTAACCTTATCTCCAACTTAAGGTATATAGCTTGCATTTGATTTTGTATAAGTTTACATAGGATATAAATTACTCATTTAAATCTATATACTTGAGTATATAAGAGAATCCAAAATTTGGTGGTAAATAAGTCAACTTGGTAACTATTTGAATTTTGCCAAATTATTATGAGAGATCTAACTTCTTTGTCTTGGAATACATCCACCGATTTTCTCTTATGTAATCTTTGAGATATACTAAGGATAAATTAGAACATTTGTTGATCTATCTTATTGACTAGTGATTTCCACACTATCTCTCTTTTGTGTCCTAAATCAAAATGGTCTTTTATCTTTAAAAAGCTAAAGAAATTGCCATTCTCTCATACATCTCTATATTTTTGCAGACCATATTTATATAATTCTATTGCTTGTAGTTTGAGAAGCTAGGATCAATGCTATTAATTTCTTGATTGTGCCAAATACTTCCACTAATCCATTCTTCATGACATGTTGATGGTAGATATATCACTTTTAAAAGAAGATCTTTCTATGCCAATCCAATCTTATTTCAAACCTTGGATTCTATCCAACTTTGATTCTTTGTCATGGTAAAGAATTCAAGGCTTGATTGCCACCTTTCTTTTCAATAGGATTGAAAATGACTAAGATAATACCTCAACATCAAATGTAAATTGGAGTCAAAAGTTTTTATTTCTTTGACAACCCATTTGCAATTAATACTACAATTTCATCTATTGGATTGATAAGATTTATACCACTTTTATAGAATAGTTGGTAATATTATAACCATCCCACTTTAGAGCAAAGACATTACAATATTTTTCCTATAAGATAATTATTTAGAGACGTCTTGATTTTTGAAATATCTTTTTTTGTACCTCTCCAAATGGAGATAAAAAAATATTATAAAGAATAAAATATTATTTACAGTGGTCTTTCTTTTATAGTATTGGTTATTGTTGAATACCAATGTTTTAATCTTGTATTGATTTTTCTATTTTAAAAAAACATCATAGACAATTGATATTAAAGAAAGATCAAATGGAGCATCCTATAATTTTCTAACTTCTTGTCTCTCAAATCATGAGATACCAAGTTAATTTTTCTACATAGATCTAATAAAAGTAAGATTTTTTTTTTTTAATAATTTCTTGATTTAGTTTAATTCAAAATAAGATCTAAACCTACACAAAATATTTTTAATATGTAGATAACATAATATATGTTTTCTTCAATTCCATGTATGGTCAAAGAAGTATCATTTGCATATTGTATTATGATTTATTATCTATAAGCCATTAATAGTTGTATTTGTTTTATTAATCCAAAGCTTAATTTATTTATTATAATTAAATTAAATACTTTTTCCATAATAAGAAATAAATAGGAGGCAAGCAACAACCTTATCTCACTACTCTTTTGATTTAAAATTGCCTTGAAAGTGATCCATTAATCTTTGCACAAGATTTTGCATCATCAATACAATTGAATTTCCTAGATAAATCTATTGCTTCCATTATGTAAAAAAAAAATCCATTCTATTATATCATATGCTTTTTAAAAATTAAATTTTATAAATGGTAGTGGTTGTTTTGATTTCTTTGCTCATGCTATGGACTCATGTGTGAATAAAATGTTATCCAATATAAATCAATTGAAAAAAAAAAGACAAATTGGTCCATATTGATGATGTTTATAAGCACTAATTGAAGTCTAATTTGCATTGCTTTTTCATAAATTTTGTTTCTATCATTAAAAAAAGATAATAGGTCTTCAATTTGAAAGATCATGCTTTATTTTTTCTTTATGTAATAATGCTATTAATCCTTAGGTAACTTTTAGTAGAAATCTTCATTTCTATATACTTTCTTATATTATGGCTAAATAATCCGGCCTCAAAATATTTCAAAATGATTCATAAAATTTTAAAATGATTCA